GAAACTGTCACGACTGAACTCGGCGGAGCTCGGCCGCAAACATACACTGAAGTCTTACTAACCTGGATTGTTACGGTAAGGGATTAAAATGAGAGAGGAATGAGTGAAAGAGAGATGATTAAAATGAGATGATTAACAGAATACAAACTGTGATGTGGAACTCTTGCGTCCACTTCAATGCACGAATAATGGAGTAGGAGGTAAGGACCAGTCTCAATGTCACCTCTTATGTGCAAGAAGACATTTCTGAATGCAGTCTGTGTTTCATCTCTTAGCACGAGCCTAGCACAGCATGCGGCCCATCCTGTCTGTCCCGTGTATAATGAGCATATGTCACATTGTATAAAGCTGTACTGGGAAGAAGGGGAGTGAAAAGAAAAAAAAAATATGTGAAAATAGAAGGAGGAAGGGCGACTTATTTTTAATTCAGTAGTGCTGCTACTAAGTTGCAAGCTCCATGATAATCTTGCATCTGAGATCTAGCACATGATGACTGTCATAAAAAAAGAAAAAGCGCAATGGGTTCAATATAGGAAATACCACGAATTTCAAATTTTAATGTAAAAATACAAGATTAAGAAAAGATCATACCTAAGGAATGTACTTCTTTCGTTTATAATTAAACACAAAAAGACGGTACAAGAATGGCTGTATGGGTGTGTGTGTGTGTGTGTGTGTGTGTGTGTGTATAGATATGCGTATGCATGCACGTTTGTGTGTATGTGTGTGTGTGTGTGTGTGTGTGTGTGTGTGTGTGTGTATGTATATATGTTCATTTGTGTGCTAATGTTTGTTTATGCATTTATATGTTCGTATGTATGTGTGTGTGTGTGTGTGTGTATGTGCATATGTATATGTGTTAATATACATGGTATCATTAGCCATCATACAAAATGTCCCGGGTCTGATCTGTGTACTTACTACAGTTTCTTAAAAACCCATACCGATAAACAATACCTTATACTGCGAAAGTTTCATTGGCTGATGAGCGGCTGTTCGTTGATGGTTGTGCTTTTTTTGGAGTGGCGCATGTTGGATGGTGTTCCAGTTAGGACGCCGTCGACTCGCAAGCCTCTGGGACGTCTGGACATGATCGAATGTGCGGTACTTGAACAGGACGAGTATATGAAACGTGTCGCTACAGGGCAATGCCCGCCACAACCTACCAAGTTAGACTCTTTGCTAGGCATATTGTTCGGATTGCTGCTCTTTTTCGATATTCCATAGCAAGCATGGGCAATCTTCGGCGACACGCGGTGTATGATTTACATACGTATTTAAGCTCACGGGCCAGCTGTTAGTAAAACTCAGGTACCAACGTGCCACGCCTGTCCGTGCAATCATGCGTTTTTATGCTGAGCATAGCGCAACGAGATCGTTAACAGTATGAATGGTTCTGCTTTACAGTCTAACACATGCAACTCATGTACCTATGTTTCGATCTTTTCTTGCATACGCTGGAAAAAGGCATCGGCTGGAACAGTAGTGCTGCGTCATGGCTATTCCCGTTGCTGAAATGAAAGTGGGTGGAGAAGCTCATTCGCTTCTGAGCACACACACAACACTTGTTCTCGACATCATGTGTTTTTGCATTTGCATAAGACAGCATAAAAACAGATAACTTTTTATCAGATTGCACATTCAGTAAAAACCCAGGCTGGAAGGCAACAGGCTTGCCGGTACGATCATGCGGTTTTGCATTAAACTCGCAGATCGTTGTTAGCAGGATTGATCCCTGCGGTGTAGCTTGACACTTGGGCTCATACTGGCCACGTTCTGGCCTCTTCCAGCATGGAGAAGGGACGTCAGTTGGGATGAAGATGTTGCATTATTGGGTCGCATGGACCTCCAGGTGCATTACCGGTTTTTTACATGAAACACAGTTGTTTTTTCTGGATATGTTCGCTTTTTGAAAAATGCAAATTTCCAGTTCACTAAAAAATGAAAGTGTTGTTCGAGCGGTCATTTGTCAAGAAATTCAAGTATGCAAAAGAACTGAATATTCATTTACATATTTGAATGCGGGCAGTCGATCGCTGCAAAACGCACTCGTTTCTGATTTTTTGGTAGAGTTGAGTATTTCTCGTGTCCACCTGCAGGAAATTCCACCTACAATCAGAATTAAGACCGCATTTGAAAGTAGAATATCCCAGCGAAATTTCACCTCGCAATTTCAACGAAATATTCACTTCGCTACAAATATCTTTGAAGTGCTAAAGTCGTGGCGCAAGTGCAAGTCGATACTCGTTTTAGGTATACGATTTCCCATTTGGGCGATAAACATGCTGACAAGTTTCAGCTACTGTTTTTCGTCAGTTTTTCGAATTAGCACAGTACCAAGTTGTAAACTTTGACGTGATCGTATGCGCTGCACAAGCGTCCACGACAGCTGCATTTGAATGTTTTAGCTCAAACATGCACAGAGAATACTTCTGCAAGTTTTCAGCTGTGGATGTTGTCTGGTTCGCAAAATCGTTTCTCGCCAAAGAAATATGCATATTTTTTCAGGGGTCTGTACGCGGGTTCTAGGTGCGTATGGGGAAAAATTTTAAAACGGGAGGATAACACACGATATAACCCAAATTTCGGGCACCCAGCTTTCCTGGTTACTGAGATGAAAGTGGGTGACAAAATTCACGCGCTTCAAATGTACACACACACACACACACACACAAACAGACGACTTCTCGACAATATACGTTTTTGTTGGCTGTAGTAGCGTTACAGCAAAAACGCATAAAAATCAGCAGCAGGTTAATGTGAGCTCTGGATTTTAACTTTTGGCATAAGACTGTTGAAATCTGGATTTATAACACTGACACAGAGTCTCAAGTATTTTCCAGACTGTCATCTTTTAGTCTTATGCGTAACACAGTACAAAACTCTCGTTCGTCTAGTTAGACAGTTCATTCCAACTCCCTCCATGGGCCGAATTAAAACTTGTCCTGGGCCGCCGATCGCCCACATGCGTTCTGTAGGAATGCAAAAGCCTCGCGGTGTTACTGTGATCAACCGAAGTACGAATGATGAAACGATAGGACACTGTTGAGCAGTTGTAGACAAATGCAACTCCTTCGGATCCACTTTTCCTAGGTTTTTGTGGTGACACCACTATTCTCTAACTCGTTCTGGTGGTAAACTAGTCTTGCCATTATGCCAGGGAGTCAA